TCTGAAGTAGAGCTTAAAACGCAACTTGGTGCCGTCGGGCCGGATCAGCAGCGTTAACAGCGCTGCTTAATTATTTTCTCACAGTTCCGTCCGCTGCGAGCGCCGTCGTTGCCCAGTAATCTGCCGATCGATTCCCTCTTATTATTCTCCGACTCGTGCGGCGACCGCAGCTCGAACAAAATGCTCGCAGCGTTGTACGACTGCAGCGAGCGTTCTGACGTCAGACCCTCGAAGATAACAACAGGCTCGTCTGATTTGACTTCTTGCTCCGTCTTCCGATCGTCCCGCTCTCTAGCGAAGTATTCTCTTTCCGCTCGTCAGTTTGAGATGCAGCCTTGAGGGCCCCCGGCTCACGTCTCCCCATGATCCCATTGTTTGAGTTTATATGATTCCGAATGCGCAGAGCCATACCAAGCACAAGCAGGCTGATATGTCAGCCCACAATCTGTCGACGAATAAAATTCTCCGTCGAGAGGGAGCCTCATTAGCATTATTTTGATTGGCATTTCGATGTCGTTCGACAGATTTATACGATGGCGAATCTAGGCCTGCAATCGACAACCGAGAGAGACACCGACACTCCGATCGGCTATGGAAAACTGACATACGTGACATAATATTTGCTCCTTACGCGGTCGCTGTCTCGTAGTCGCGAGACGTTGGTTTTGCGGGGAAAAATAGTCAATAATGGCTTCTGTAGGGCGCTGCTATCGGGCAGAGAACCGACATAGAAGGGAACCCGAACCCGGGGCACCATCGACCTAGGCCGGTCTCCGGTTCCGTATTCCGTAGTCGAGACGTGCCTTAATGGAATCGAGGAAAACGTCAGAGGACAGGTCCACGATTTGATTACCGACGATCCGATTTCCCGATACGAATCGATGCTTGCACCTCAATGACATGATATATCTGCGGGAGCAACATGATCCGTTGCACAACAGCTGCGCTATCCAGTATGTGAGGGCCACTCGGGATTTTTCGAGTTTTGAGTCTCACGGCAAGATTCCTCCCCAATCGCTCCGAGAGGAATATATATGAATTCTCGGACGGGAACCCTCCGACTGCCAGGAGGGGTGCTGCGTGGGGGTTTGGAAGATGATGGCTGACCGCCCCATACCCTACTTGAGTTGCGGAAAAGAGCCCGACATGTTGGTGCCCCCTCTCCGGCGTTTGTACTCCGCCGGCCGCATAGCGTAGCCGACAGAGCCAGATCATCGATTTCGGGGCCGGACTTGAACATGCTATCCAGGAGACTCCCTCGATTAGATAAACGTTTCCCCTGGCTTCGAGGGATTGAGAACCTTTGCAGTACTCGTATAAGCATTGATGCGCCATTGATGGTAGCAAGTGGAAGAGCGGCTCCAACGTTTTCCGTTGCCCTCCTGGAATTGATTAGTGGTGGTAACCATCCTTGCAAAAACGCTGCCCACTGAGGAGAACCGGCGATCAGGGAACGAGAAAGGAAGTAGGAGGAGGAAATGGAAGGAAAAAACGATGGAACCAGCCACCGCTATACGGGGATTCAGACACGATGGCTAATCCTCCGCTTCTCCCCGAAGTATCGCTCATCGAAGGAGTGCTTTGCTCGGATGCTTCTCTTCTCTGGCCGAGCAGCTAGTCGACCGCTGGGTCGCTCGCTCGGTCGATCGGACGGACGGTCGGACCCTAGGCAATACAAGTCCCCGCTCCGCTGTCCCGTGCCCCGACTGCGGCAATAAGGAACTCGACTGGAGCGGCATTTCACCGAGGATAAGTACAAGCAGAGAATCAATGCCGCCCTGTCTCCGCGGCGGTCGCTCTTCTCTTTTCTTCTCGTCCTCTCCCACGTCGAGCTCGTTCGCTGCGATGCGCCGTCGTCGCGCGGGCGATCCCCTAGTTGGCGGTTTCGGAGCGATCGCCGACTCAGCAAAACTATTATGGCGAAGATGACATTTACGGCGGGAAACAGCAGCGGCGTCGTGCGGTTTCTTAGTTGAAGTCGCCAAGACAACGCAGTCCTTGCGGGAGACCACCGCTAACGAAATTATTTTTCCGAAAATTCGTCTACTCCTGCTGTTTCGGCAGAAGTCACACCCTGGGGAATTTCCGGTCCGACTGAACCCCCAGACTGGCGGATCTATTCCCAAGACGTCTTCCACGACGCACGTCCGTCTGTAGAACGAACTTCCTCCGAATTCCCAAATATTGGAGAGGGAGAGATCCCTTTCCTCGATCCGAATATTCCTAAACTCGAGGAATATCACCGCGTCGGTGAATTAAAATTATTCGATGTATCCATTCCTCGCGAGCTCCAGAGGATCCGTGAATGTCTGATGCGCGATAATGTCTGTCAGAACGAATCATTCCGTCGGATTCTCAGCGCACCAAAAAAGCTGCATACGTAACGTATCTGCTCGTCGACCCGTACACACGTTAGTGAAGCCCCGCTTGTATAAGTACGTCGGCGTAGCAGACGGAACGAGATCGCTCGGATATCCGTTACCCGTGCTCGACGTCGTTGTTCGGGAGATGCTGAATCGTCGTCTTACGCATGTTGTCCGGCCAATCGTTACAGAATTGCATTCAGTTGTCGGACGGCTCCTCCGCCTGTCTGACGAACGGACGCCCGTCCGTCCGCGCGACCATACGTCCTTTCGAGCAAGCGGCCGACCGACAGCCGGTCCGTCTGTCCGGACATCTGTGCGCCTGCAATGCCTTAACGAGGGCTCGGTTTACGAGAGAGGGCTAGTCAGAGCAGAGAAAAAAATATCGAGAGAGATCGAGGGAAAGCGAGAAAGAAACAGCTGTGATTTTTATCGCTGACAAAGTCCCTTGGGTGGGTGGCCTTAAGGATGAGTGAGAGCTGGAGGGCCACAGAGTTAGCAGATGACCTCGCTACTAGCCGTTTACGGTCAGCGGACGTGTCTGAAACCATTAGACGTTTTTTTACAATCCGACAAGTATTGTTCTCCTGTTGCTGCGCCTCCGGCGGCCGTCGCCACTCCTGTCGGTTTCGTTAGGAGTGCGGACAGCCTCGAGCGAGCACCCAGTCAGTCATCACTCCAAATCAGGCCACACGCCCGAGCCCTGGGAGACGTCTCGGAATCGCCTTGAGATCTGTCCGGGTCCCGTAATGACGCCGCTCAGATGCAAACGCCGAGCTATATGTGTGAATTCTCTCTCGGAATATATTATTCCCGCTCCGACTCCGGAATAGCCTCACGTTTTTCATTTGACGATCCCGACTCTCTCCCGTCGCCGGCACCGTCTCCTGTATCTACTGTGCGGAGTTATTGGAGACTTGGACTCATTTCGGCATTCTGACCTCTTCCCGACGCTCGTGCTCTCTTTCCTCTCTCCCTCCGTGCTCCTCCTAATTCTCCAACATATGACCGTAATCTGCGATACTGGAGCTCACTTGTCTCTCTCAATCGCAACTTTCAAGTCCAGGTCGCCCCTCGGTCCTCTTCCCCGGCTCCTCTGGCTTCGTCGGTTTGCCATCGCTGTACGGCGCATTGTAATCCCCGGGCCTTCGTTCTTGTCCGGCCCCTCTGGCCGTCTCTCCGTGGAGCTCCTTCACTTTCTATTGCTCGGTCCTATCCCTGTCCGTGCCTCCTCGAGGAGATGCCGAGGAATCCTTCAGCTATGATCTCACCATTAGTGATGATAGCTCCGCTGCAAAAATAGCTTGTTGCCACCAGGAGGCGTATATTAGTCGCTGGCTGATGATAACATTGCGTTTGATGGAGCTTTTTTTCGTACCAGATTCGTCATCATCATTATAACCATCATGATCCCCGTTATTTTTTCCAAGTTATACCATTACTAGCGTTTTTGCTGCTGGGATTCCGGCCCGTCGAAAATAACAACTCGTCCATTTGCAACCTGACGGCCGCGTAAACGAGCCCGGGACCCTCTGACCTCGAGCATCGTCGACCGAGTATAACATGAACACATATAGCGAGAGAGGAACTCCCGAAGCAGGCAGCGAGTTTGCTGTCCGTGGTAGTTCGTGTCGCAGATTCAAGGGAAATCGTCGAGCAAAACTCGAGACGAGAAATGAACCTAGTTGATCGGGAGTCGGGAGATCACCTAACAGTGGGGGTCTCCGATTACGCCCATGATGCGCTTCCGGAGCTTTGCGACCTCCCGGCCGGAGTGATGGCACGGCTCGGCTCCTCTGGAAGTGCAGTCATGGGGTAATGATAGCCCCGAGGAGCTCGTCGATGCGATGGCGTGGCCCCTCAGCTCGTTGAGAATTTCGGGAACCCCGTCAAGTCCCCGGAACCTCCACTCTATCTCACCGATATTCAGAAAAATCATCTCCCGCTCCGCGGCTATATTATCCGCGTCTTGGAAAACGGCAAACTCTAGAACTCATCCTGAAAAGTCATACGCGCAAACAAACTCTTCCCGCTGAGAATTCCCTCCTCTCATGCCAGTCAGCACTTGAACAAGCGAGCTGGACTCCGGATGACTCCTTGGACGGTTGACGTCATAGCTGAATAGGGAATTGCTGTGAGACATTGTTCACTTTTCAATCGGAACAATGAAGAACTCGCAGCGGCGGCTCCGACAACAACAACGACGACGGCGACGTCGTCAAGAAGGGACCAAGAAAACGACCGAGGGAGTGAAAACGAAAAGGAAGCTGTTCGACTCGTCTTGACGCTTCTCGCGTTCTCGGCAAACGCTTCCGGGAAACTCCAGCATCCTAATGAAGCTAGTTGCGCTTACTCCCCCTTTCGCTGGAAGAGTCGAGAGAGAGCGAAAAGGCGAATGGTGAGAAGTTGTGAGCACACGAGCGCGAACTTTTAAGAGCGAACGGATGTTGTTTTTTCCCGCGTGCTGCTCTTTCTAAACCTTCGCGGAGTATGCGAGTTTTCGTTATGGAATGACTTCAGGGTTTCTGAATTCGTTACAGGTATGTTGCGACGGCGGCTTGAAGTGCGGTGATCGGCTGCTTTTGGCCTGCTCGGGGGCCAAAACCGGTGCTCGGGGAAATACATCTGGCGCGCACCATGAGTGACGGGGCTGTGTTGGCCCCTTACGTTCACATCAATGCCAGCAACATCTCCCTACACCAGCATGCGACAACGACGCAGAGTTCACAACCTGCGATTACAGGCTACCATTACTACCATCAGGTGAGTCTTACAAGTCATCGATTAATTGCGTGCTCACCTTGCGAATCGTCGGAGTTTCGTCTCCCTCCTCGACTTCGCGGGGAGTCCGGGTGATGGCGGGTCTCCATGCCCAGAAAAATTACTTTCTCCATTTATTTTCACCATATGCTCGAGTCAGGTTATTTGTATTATTATCGTCCGGAAACTCAGAACTCCGCCATCACTCGTTTCGAGGCTGTAGGCCTGATCAGGTCGATCAGGGACGGAACCCCGTGGCTTTGTGACCTTCGATACGAGTTTCCTGGGGTCCTTGTTGCTCTCGGATTTTCTAGATCGATTATTAGTCTTCAATGGATGGTACACATGACCGTCAACGAGAACGGGTTCGGAATCCCCAGCGAGTGTACGGCTGGGACTCAAGTCCTGAGTTCCTCGTGCTTGAAGCCGTTGCTCTCGATCAATGATTTCGGACCCTGAAAGAGAACTCCAGCATCGAAAATGACCGTCGCGTCGACGGGATCGCGGAGTCTCTCACCATATTTTGAAGGATCGGGTTCGCCTCATTGAGGTTCTCCTGAATCCAACACCCGAATGAGTATTCTACCGGGAATTCCCCTCGTGCTCGCTTCCTTTTATTCGAGTCTAAGAGAGGTCTGAGAGCAATTTTTGCAGCGAAGGAGAAGCGAATGAACCCACGAACAGGCGGCAGACGAACTATTTTTGTTAATATGCTGAAAAGGGCTGCAATTTGCGAGAGCGCGCCCGTTCCATTCTTCCTCGGATTCGCTACCGAGCCTGCACGCCTTATCGAAAAAGAAATATTTTTGCCAAAAACGTGCCTGTCCCGCCCATTTCTGAATCCACGACCGATCCAGCCGCGCACACCGACTCCTTCGAGGCTATTTTTTCCCACCTCTCCGAGCTCTCATTCTTTCCGCCGAACCTAGACTCGCCTCCCACTTTAATTCATGCAAAGTATGTAGATCGGGCTCCAACTCGATGCCGACGTCTTTTCGACTCGAATGAATCAACAGTTGGCCAATTTTCACATGCTTCCCGTGTTCTCAATAATCGTTCTGTGGTGATTACTGCAAAAACCGCGCTCCGCATTTTCCCATCCGGGAGCTTCTCCTTCTGCGAGAGCGGACGTGTTCCTGTTCTATTGACTCCGAGCACGCGGTCGCTTGGGCCACGGGTGAAAGTTTTGAATAGCTACAAATTCCATCACGGGAAGCATATATTTCACGCTCCTCGGGACCATTCGAAGCGGTCATGCGCATTCGGCTCAGTCCTTCGAAGACTCAGATTTAATAAACGGAAACGAGATTCTCGATCCGACTCCGTAGCTCCGAGTACATAGAAACAGAGCATAATTTTCTTTCTGTCTCGAGTGAGTGATCACTCTCTCCAGCAGATGAATTGCCAGAAACTCCTTCTAACGCGGGGAAGGCTTTGCAGATAGTCCCTCCTCCTTCTGCTCCTCGAAGAGCGGAGAGGAGAAGGTAAGAAACTCGGACGCAATTTCAGACGGCCTCCTCAGCTACCGACCGCTTTAGTCGGAGTCTCAAGTTTCTTCGACCGGAGGAGAGATTTTGTTGCAGTAGTTGAACAAAACGACAAGTGCTCCATGGCAGCGCTTCCCTGCTAGTTCCCGCATTTCCTCCACAATTCAAATCTATCGCGCGGAAGCTAGCGTGGAGCAGAGCTCCATCATATTCCGGCGGGCCCACAGCTGACTAAACCGTCCGAAACGTATGATCAAATGTCGGGATGGAAAATTCCGGCGAAACATCGACACTCATTCAGAGCCCGATGACAATGCACATTGTATTTGCCCCCCCAACGGTGGGAGAAGCTCCCTCCTTTGACCTGAAATCCCGATGCTCTCGCGGCATTGAGCAGAAAGATGAAGACTACGCGCCCCCCCTACGGCATCGAGGGCACTCCATGGTCCCACATGGCACAAAAACACGGGCCCGAGTTTGACCCGGCGCTCGAATCCCACCCGATACGGAGCAACGCACCGCCACATCGTACAGCACACTCGTTTCACTTCATTTGGTTCCGGAGAACTTGTTGAGTGCGCCCCGCGTGAGGTATCGCCATAAAGTATTCTCTGAAGCCAAAGTTTCCCAATCTTCCAGATGGCCTCCCAACATAGAGGAGGAAACGGGGTTCTTTGCCATCCGGCTCAGACGTCCGAAGCGATCGTTCTGTTCACGATCGCCTTCCTGGGAGTGAGTGCCAACGTGTTCTTGATGTCGTTGATCCTTACCAACAAAGCTCTGCGAAGGTAAGCCCAGGCTCTCCTGCCGCGCAATGCTTCGCTCACAAACCCTGCGCCCCTGCACGTACGCACGTCAGCTGGCTCGTACGCAAGAACCCCACTGTAGGCCCCATTCATGCACGGGAAACGGGGAATATACGAGCGAGCGCATCTGCGCAAGCCTGCACGATCTCGACCTTAAGTTGGTCGTTTCGCGTCCCGATACGCCGCTGCTCCATGACGGCGGGGATTTCCCGCTCGAGATACCGCTCACTTGATTCCACGTACGCCTGCTTGAGGAACAGTCAGATACTCTGTTTCGGGAATGTCCGGATACGCATATCACAATGAGATCTGCGGCGGAGTTCTACGCATGTCATCAAAACTCTCGCGGTAGACGATTCGCGGGCGCACAACGCGCGCAGGCCACGAATCGTTCATTCATCTTCCGGAATGTCACGCATCCGATTCCTTCGTATTTCAAGCCAGTGTTTTCCCTCGCGGGAATTTTTCCGATTGGGCTCTTCCAGCTGCTCCGTCCCTCGTCCCGTGACGCCAGCGGGTGTTTGCTGCGAATTCGCTCGCCGTTCCGCTTATTCCCGTATTTGGCTCTTCCCGGGGTCCCACCCTCGCTTCGACCGGGAAGAAGAAACCCGTCGGCTCTGAGATCCGATATCGATCGATCGCTCCGAAGATCCTAACAGCTTTTTTCGCAGATGGTCGCAAGGTTTGTTGTTCCATCAAGGACTCGTCGATTGCGTGAGAGCTCTACTCCTGGTACCGATGGGGATATCGGTGCTGCTCTGTCAGCGTCTCCCGCCGTGTGCGCTGATCGAGACTTGCTTTCTACTTCTGGTGACTGTTTCCACGGTGAATCTCTTGGTCGCCGTCCTCAACGATGTGCCTCTGTTACCCGATCAGGATACCCCCAACTCCGTCATAGACGCGAGCCAGGTAGGTAACTCGAGATTCAACACCAACGACGCTCCCGCATCGAGATCTCGACTTCTCGGGTAGCAGATCACTAGATCAGTGGCCAGAGTTTGTTCTACGCGGAGACTCTCCTCCGTTCCTCTCGCCCTGTCGATGATTCATGGGCCCCGATCACAATAATTAATTCGAAATTGCGAGAGATGTCGTCCGTTCTCTCGCAAAGTTCACCGAGCGAATTTCGACACGACCTTTAGAAACTCCCGCCGGCCTCATTCACGGCGAGTTATTGAGCCCCGTCAAAGGACGAGGGCTCGATTCACCGCAGAGTGCACCGTTTCAAAGCAATGGAACTCGTTGCAGATTCTCCTCGAGAGCCCGCAGTGTATAATGTTTGGCCTATTCATCATCTGGTTCGCCGCGTTCACCATTAATCTGGGTCCCACATTTCTGTCGGGTGCCCTCTATCAAAACCGTGATCCTGCATCGCACGGCCTAGACGTTTGCCCAATAGTTTATGGCCCGGTGCGACATTACGTGCTCAACATCCTCTGGATCGGAGTGAACCTACTCTGCGTAGGCCTTATGGGTATTCACCTCCGGAAACTCTTCAAAGACCTTCATAAGGCCCGTGGAAATGTCGATAGTCTCCGGATCGCCAGTCTCGTAACCACGGTTATTTCGATGCGAAACGGTGAGTAGTTCGCGTGTAGATTTTACAGTCGTCGACGGCACCCTGGGCACCCTCGTCTTCCTCGCCACCGCTGCGCCGCCGGCTTCAGAACTTTAGGCCCGATCGGCGAGTTCGATATAATATCGAGCTGCGCTAAATCCGCTTGAATCCCCGGACCACATAACGGCAAAATTGGAATAGTTCCGTCTCGAGCCAATTCTTCACCGTCCTTTACGTACATGGGTCGGCGTGCTTCGCTCAGCTACTCGACCGCAATGATGAGAACAGCTGTTCCCCTCGACGAGTGTACGAGCGTACACTCGCTCCTGGGCAGGGACGCTCGTTCATGCATCTGTCGTGTCTGACATGCAGGCGGCGACTCGCTCCTGGTGGGATTCCGAGGATTCGATTGCGAGGTCTCGAGCTGTGAATTGATCGTCGAGGACCTCTGGAGCTCCACGGATATAGCGGCCGAAACGTCGGGGAGAAAAACGACTTTCCCTCGGAACTTTTCTTCGATCGCTCCACGGGAAACATTTGTCTCAGAATGCTCAACTCCGAATTGCCTCTCTCTTTCCAGCCGACAACATTGATCAGTGCAGCAATAGCAGCAATTCTGTCCAAAACTACATAGGACGACTCGAACGGGAAGGCATTCGACGAGTAAAAATGTTTGTCATCATGCTCGTAGCCTATCTCATCTTCTGGGGACCTCTCTTTTCGGTCACACTCCTGCAGCCTAGTGAGTGAAATTTAAGCGCATATTCAGACGACTTTCGAACGATCGATTCAGTAGAGCGTTAGGTGGCCCTGTTGGTTATTCCTTTCATTTTTCGTTTTGATTCTTCCCGTAAATTTTCTCGCATCGATCCTGTTGATCGATGCACGGAATCCGCTCGTCCAAGTGAAGTGCTGATGAATCTTCGAGAGTTGCGATAAGACTCGAGATATCTTCCGCGGTCTTAACAAAATTACCTCGGAACCATAGAGATAATCTTCGGGGGAGACCTGCCACGGGCGCAGGATGCTTTCCGCTCCTCTTTGCATATCAAGCCGAACGGGTTTCGGGTCCTACGACAAAACCTACTACGCCAGGTTACGTCTGCCAGTACGCAGCAGTCCTTGTTGCCGCATTCCTTTCCGCTCGGTCCTCGCCGTGCCTCTTCTGGCTAAACTCGCTTTCGCCCGATTCTTGTCGTTCCTTTTTTCTACTCCATCTTTCCTTTCCTCTCTACTGTACCGCAGGTCCTTGCTCCGTGTCTTTCTCTCTCGCATATGGATTTTATACGAGAGCACTCAACCAGCCAACCGTCCGACCGTGTGACCAGGCAGCCAGTCGGCCGTCTGGCTAACATGCCATCCGACGAACAAGCGGAGAAGCGGCTTGGCGCACGATGGCGTACGCGGAAGGAGAAGAACGCTTTTTCAACACGATGTTCTGAGAGAGAAACACTCTGTATCCCTGGCCAAGGGCTCACTGCTCCTTTTTTGTTCTCTCCCCTCAGATCAGAAGCTGTCCCTCGGAGAAATTAATGATGAAAAAACACAAAAGCTCTTGCATCGTTTCTTACTCCATTGTCTTTGTCCAGACTGAGCTGCCGCTCATAGCCGGACCAGGGGGTGGAGACCCGACTTATTCTCTCCGTTTTCCTCCTTATGGAGATAAAGAGAAAAACGGAATCGAAAATCGAGGAGTGCCCATACTTTACGTCCTGGCCTTACACAGCGTTAACCCTCTTTGGTGCTCGAATCCAACAAATGACCGACTTTTCGGAGTCGTTTCCGTCCGCTTCTACTTGGACACGCACTCGGCGGCGGGGGTTGCCTCTGCCCGAGGTCGGAGAGCATCCCAGATTGAGCTGTACTCTGCTATGCACGGAGAAGAGGGTTCCAGACTTACCCCCTCGGCGCAATACTCCTAACGAGCTTTGCTCTACCGCTGGAGCCTTTTCCAAGAACACGGTTGGCTTACGAAGGCTGCGGAGTGCGCTCTTCCGGGAGCCGCCGGCAACAGCGGAGAAAAGCACGAGCTCCCACCGAGATGCTCGCCAAACTCCCGCCGGCTGCATAGGACCATTTCGGTGCAATCTTTTTCCTTTAACCCGGTAGCCGAATGCGATCCCACGCTCGACCTACCGATGGGCCGGACCGCAAAGTTCGACCACGTAGAGCCCGTGGCGCCTTGGAATTTCATGACCATCCTGTTGGGCTCATTTCTACGTTGCGTATATGCGGCAACCGTGGAGAACGAGAGCTCACTGTGCGAACGGAGCCGGCCATTTATTGCTCACTCGTCCGCCAGTCGGTCGGGTGGACGGTCGCTCGGTCCGCCGGTCCGTCGGTTTCGTTGCCCGTCTGCTGGAGCCGCTCGGATCTGGCGACGAGCCAGGGCTTCGACTAGACAAACATCTATAAAGTTTCCGTCAGATCGCAGATAGTTGGCAGTTGAAGCACGCGTTGTTACAGTGGATCCGCGACGTGCCCCACATATAAGCTACAGTGATTCCAGAACGAATCTCCGGATTGAAAGCTCGTCCTCCTTACTTTCCATCCTCTGTGGCATCCTTCCTTCCCCATTGTTCAAATTTATTTTACTCCGACGTCGATACGACTCTGCGCAACTCCCCCTAGGGCATTCCGGGACTCGCATTCCCCTATCCGTCGTTTGCTCCGCGCGCTTCCGCACGTAGTAACGTTTATTTTCGGAAAAAGACGTCGATCTTGGGAACGATGATGGGGAACAAGAAGAAAATGACCGAACGAGTGAGGTTCGACTCGAGAGCGAGGGTTCGAGGCCGATCGATGTCCTCGCAGGTTCGAGAATTATAATAATTGAATGTGTCTCTTTCTGAATCCACAGTTAATATCGCCGGTCTTAGCAACAATCTTTGGTATCAAATCAGCCTGCACGTGGCTTTTGTGCACTCGTTCGTCAATCCGACACTTCTGCTTAGTCTGCATGGGGAGCTTCGCACAGCTGCGTCTGGTTCGTGCCACACGACACGATCCGAGTCGTCGGAAGACTCCGACTACATCAGGTCGACGCATCTGCCGCCATACAATGATGAGGCCGAACCCTTACACGCCAAGACAAGCTATATGTAAGTACTCTGTGCACAATTAGTAATAGATTATTATTCGACCCCGTACCCTTCCTGAAGCTTAGCGGGAGGCGACATAAATAACGCCTTGTACGTCAAGCTGACACCAGCCAAGCCTACCGAGGACTAATCGATGTTTTCGCACCCTTTCAGTCTCTCTGCCATGACCAACGGAGATATTGCTTCGTGAGTATCTTCTCTTTGCTTGTTTTGCTTCCTTTGTCCCTCAGTGTCATTGACCTATTTTGGCAAGCCCATGCAGCAGATCGGCGTCCGGGTCTGCTGGACCCGCCGATCCTTTCAACGCTATACAGGACGCGAGACAAAACTGAGGGAGTTCCTGGAAGACATTGAAGATACTGTATGACACTAATTCCGATTCGGGAGGTCGATACGCGGACTTGCGTGGACGACCAGCATGATGTCTCGCCGGATCGATCACGGGCGAAAACGGGCCAACGAAAGTCCTCCCATCGAAGGGGACGCGAATGATAATCTCTGTGGGTTCTGAGTCCCAGAGTTCAGCATCGGCCCCAGAAGGTGGAATTCCCTCGTCTGCACGTACTTCGGTCGCTCCCAGACGAATTCATCGGGGTCTGCATTCCTCCCTCTGTAGCTCAGACAAAGTAACAAGTTGGTAGGCCTCGGCCGGCAGACCACCTATCGATCGCCCACAGGGTCGGATTCCATGGGTTGCCCGACAACCGCATGCCTGTGAGCGAGTCTTCCCTCGACGAACTCCTTGAAAAGTACAAATTGTTTCCTCCTTTCTAGTTCCCTGGATCTGACTGAGTGAGCGAAGACGTTCCGGTCGTTACGGAAGTTCTCGAGGGTTCTGACGCAGAAACAATAGAGGGCTCCTACACAATTCATTCGAGTCCATGACGAACTTTCTTCTGCAGACTTTTAACGGTTCTGCTTTTTGAACGTTCTCAGAGTCTGAGTTCTTTCCTCACTCTGTTGGGAACTCTCTGATTCGCCCCGCTTGAAATCCCTCTGTCTGCCGGAACACCGATGCACCGGTTCGAATCGAATCGATACCACAGCTACCCTCACGAGGCCACCTGTCCCACTGTCGATGGATTCCCGAAAAAGTTGGGGGTTCCGTCTCGTTTGCGAAAGCGTCGACAGTCCGACTATTCTTCCACGAATTCCCTCGAAGTCCGCTTGCCGGTCACCGTCTATGGTAGGATATCAGCATCCGTGATGGGGTATTCGACACGGAGAATCCATTCCTCTCTTGCCCTTCGAATCAGCGAAGAATGAATTCACGATTGGGACGTTCCCCATCGGTATATGGGGCTAACAATTCCCCAGAAACCGCGGTCCTTCCCAAGCATGTCGGCTTCACCGAGCAAAGAATGGGAGAGGGAGAATGCATGATGAACAGCCTTTCATTCCACTTTTTGATCATCGATATGCCAATAGTGCTGATCAATTGGCCGCGCATGCCCTTCGATTCAGCCCGAGTCTCGTGGAAAACGACTATAGGAGTTCGCGATGCGTGCGCCTCATAAAAATTCTCCCCCGACCGACGGCAAGAGCGACATCAATAACACGAATGCGCAACAGAGAAAGTTCCTTTTATAATGCCTCGTGAAAATTATTGTTCTCGGAAACGATCCGCTTAGTTGCGAAACTCTGGCCGAAACATCGACTCCAAAACAGCCGAAGTTTACGCGAGCCTCTCTCGTTTCGGGAACCCATCTTCCTTGCGTAGTCGAAAACAGGAACAGGGCTCCGGAATACGTCATCGTCGGGAGCTTTAGGAGAATATTCGAAGAATCGGATCGGACCTTGAGGATTTCCCTCCCGGCTCTATTGTACTACGTCTACGTACCTCAGCTGGGATGTGGATGTTTGCAGGGAAACCAAACTGTTTTCTTTACGCTCGGAGCCTCGGAAGCGGCGGAGAGCAACGAGCCCAAAACCGACAGCCGATCGCGTCCAGACGACGAAAAGCAGATCCGTAGACGGCGGCTCGACAAGACGCAAAAGGACTCCCGTCGAGTAACCTTTCGAATAAACGAGAAACGCTCGACGGATACTTTGTAAGGCCCAAGTCGAGTCAAGCCCGGACCACGCGGCTCCCTTCGTGGAGACCTCGCGATTCATCGATGCCTTCGCTCCCCCTGTTGTTGGATCGAATCCGCATCATTGCGTCATGACTCATGGCAGTCGATCAGATCCCATGGAAACTCGATGGACTAGAAACCGTACCGAGACGACTCGTTCTCGAAATAAGAGTCAATCGAACGAACGACGGAATGTTTCGGACGCGAATCACGTCTGATGTCTATGACGATGAGAGCGAGGATCTAAAAATACTTAGAGACGTGTGTTCGCGAAGTAGATCCGAGTCCGCAGGTCCCCCGGAGGACGAGGACCATAGGAGGAATGAAGCGTAGGAACGAAACGTCGGTACGAGCAAACCCGAGCTGGCTCATGTTTTCCACGAGACAATCAACGTTTCCGCTCGTTTTCAGGGAAACGACCCTCTGACATTTGGATGGGGGTGGTGTTCTGGGGGAGACGACCACCCTGACGTCAGACGACTGCCTTACGAAGCTCCCTCCGCAAGCTTCTATTCAGTGGCCGGACGGGTCTCAGTTGAGCGGCATTACGGTTATGCCTCAACTTTCCTCGATGCCTGACGTTAACCAGATGCAAATATCAAGCATGGGGTGAGTTGACTCCTGTCTTCGGCGTCCAAGTATATCCTCAGCTTCGAATAGTACTCCGGCATTCGTTGATCTTCCTGCGCAATCCACGGTCGAGTCGCACCGACGTTTCCCGACAAGTAGAGGGTACAACTGTCATTTTCTTTCGCCTATCCGCCGATAAGACTTCAGTCGAGGAGGTAACTTATATTTGGCACAAAATGTCGACCTACGGAAAAACGGTTTATCTGAGTGCTTCCAAGGGCGTCGAAACGATCTCTCGACGACAGACATCCGGGAGCTCTCGCGCAGACCGGCGGTAGATTTTTGAAAGGTGCATAGCACTCGTCATTGGAGCAAAGCCGTAACGTTTTGAAAATCTTCAATTCCAGCGACCTCGACATGCTGGAAATGAACACAAACCCAAATCAAACAATCGTTCCATTAGGCTCGTTGATGAGTGCAACTCAACCAGACTCCATCTGTTGACGAACTAAGGATTAGGAAGAGGAGGGACTACCTTCGGTTGAGCCCTCTGGAAACAGGCCGAAAGTCGGGGCTCTCGATAGAGTGATTTCCTGCGGGGCCCCTCGCCAGGCATCACAAGAGCCTCATTACGTATTCCACCCTCGCCCGATCCCTTGATAATAGAATTATGCTGAAGTCTACGCGCAAGTGAGTGGTCCCAATGCTCAGGTGTATCGACGATTTAGCTGAGGAGAAAAACGTTGGCCAAGCGTTCCCGTTCGGTTCCCTCGTTGTTGAATCCGAATGACTTCCCGTTTGGAAGCTCGCTTTACGTAACAAGCTCAGCGACCGATCACCATGATCGGTTCGCATATATTTTTCTACACTCTAGGTATCGTGGTACCGCGGTACCGACGCCCCTCTGGCAGCATGCTAAAGGCATCCGATCAAGTGACCCGATCGCGGAGCACTTTTCGGGGCCAACACACAGGGACCAACTTCGGAAGAATGAAAAGCAAAAAGAGAAGTTGACCGGAAGAAGAAGTGATTTGGATAAATTAGTTTTCTACTGTCATGACTATCAGCTGTGAGATAAGAATGGAATATTATTATTGATGATGTTTGGATCCTGTAGTAGAGACACATTATCGAGGGATGCAGGGGCGAGACGATGCGGTTGCGCACTCCTTCTTGATAATCATGCATCGAATCGCCCGCGCAGCCCATCGATCATTCAACTCCTGCTCCATGATTGAGCTGCTCCCCTGCCGATAAACTCCCAATACGGTCGGTTCTGTGATCAAGGTCCTAATCTGTATGAGAGCTTCGCATGGGTCGTCAAACATCCCAGCTGTGGGTACCTCCTGACCCTCAGTTCAATTATCAAACTCGAGCCGATCGAGAACCGACCTCCGGTGAGTGATGCGTGAACTTGACTGTGACTGTGAATCTTTTCTTATTTCTAGTATGACGTTGTAATTATATAATCGAGAGCACCACGAAGTCCATCTGCTTAGGAAGGGTCTGAGACTACCTTCAAGGAGCCACTCAGTCAGATGAGCCCTTCGGAGAGCCCGGCTCTCAGATGGGGGACAGATTGGCCGAAGATTCTGAATTCGAAATGAAAATTATTCCGCTAGAGAGCAAGGGGAAATATGCGGAAACGACCGAGAGAAGAATCAGGGTCTCACTGCCGCGAGCGGTTTGGCCCTTCTCACTTCTGCGTGAATTTCAGCTGATCCCAAAAGTTGTGTACAGAATGTTGTGAATACCGTTCTCGAGTTGTCCGCCAATCGAGCACGAACGATCTAATGTTGTTGTCGAACAAATGTTTCAAGTCTTCCCTCGCCGGGTCGAAACAAGAAAAAATCCGTTTACGTCTTTGCGCCGGCGCGAGAACGACTGTTCCTTAGATTACGTTGAGAGCGAGCCAATTGGGCCGCGCTCCACGAACACGACAACTCAACGAATACTTCGATTCCGACACGAACCGGTCGGAACTGAATGCCCGAGTCGACTTCTTACCGATGATCATTATTATATATGAACACTAAAAAAAATAAACTCAACTTTTTGCCAAGAGCCTCGTTCATTTACTTCCGCTCCGCGTATTTTTCCCGCACGCAGGATACCGCATCTGAACTCGAGCCTAATGGACTACAGGAACAGGAAATGCAGGGACGCTTCTCCAGCGGCAAGCTGCATGATCTCCGCGCTCCGATGCATCAGCAGGAAAATCAGAGATCTCGACACGGGGGAACCACCGAACGGCCTGTCACTGTTGCGTCGATTGCCGATCGATCACCAAGTAGAGCGGGAAAAGTTGGCAACGATCGGTAACTGAATCGTGGAGCCGCTTGCGTTTGCGACAAGATTCTCATTTCAGCGAATAAGCGAATCGCTGAGGATAATGTCCTTCAGCGATTCACCCGGGGAACGTTTCTCCCTTCGAACTCTCTCTTGTGACTGGTGATCTCTCCATTCCCTTTCGGCTGTTCCCAGGCATCGTTCCCTATGAGTTTCCCGCTCTCTCCGTGCTCTGGTTTCCTGCGCTTTGCAGCTG